CCCTGTTGCCCTCCCCACGTACCTTTCGAAACTGTACCTATAGGCAAAAGTGTACAATATTTCACTCTAGAGCCATTGCGTTCAAGGCCCGTTATTGATATGTTATGTCTGTAATGGCACCGCAACAGCTCTAATAGAGCCGGTACGGTGCCGCATCCTCACCGTTTGTGAAAAATGGACGGTAACGAGCCTATAAGCAAAATCATTATATAATTTCATCCATAAGCATTGCAAAGTGCTTTCCTACATGAATATGTTGTCCATTTACTTCCTCGGGTCAAACCTAATTTACGATCAGGGCCTTAAGTTTTGTGGATGTAACCTGTAAGCTAAAGAAGAACCTCAATAGAAAAAGTTTAACAACTCAAAATTCTTCTTTCGAAATAATCATCTAGGGCTACTAGAGGTTCTCAGAAATTTCAAATTGAAAAATTCTTCCAAGTAGGTCTTCTAGTTGAGAGGATATATGTAAATATTCTCCCTGCGGAGCATAGTATATTTCCCCTTAGGTAAAAGTCGTAAAGAGTAATTTTAAGATTAAGTAAAGAGACCTTAATTTTAAAGACCTAAGTATCAAAGACCCTTCAATTTTTTATTTTTTATTTAAAGCAATCACCTTGCGATTTTAAGATTAATCCAAAATTTTAAGATAAAAAAATTCCTCTTAGAGGCTCTTTTGACCCTGGGGCGCTTTTTATTTTCCACCCAAGTTTTGGGTGGGAATGGCAGAAATAGTGGTGTAGATAATAAAATTCCTCTACATTGTTTCAAAAATCAGATCGGTGGGGTGGATTGTCTACCCCACACACCGTATTGGATTCCTAGATCAGTGAAGAGCATATCGGATTGAATTGGTGATCTAAAAATATTAAATAAAATAAAATTAAAATTAAAATAAAGGTTTATAGGCTAAAAATGAGAAAAGAACTAAAAAAAACATTCGGTAAAGTTAAAGAAAAAAAAGAAAAAATTATAAAAGGAGAATTTTGAGGGAGATCGGACCGAGACCGAGACCGAGACCGAGACCGATACCGATACCGATACCGATACCTTATCAAAATTAGTTTGGTCCTAATTATTCTCAGTTTGGATTAGCGATTTTCAAATACTAATTCCTTGTAATTGTCACGTGTCATACGTTTCCAATTAGTCACTCAATCTTTCATAATGGCACCGAAATGATGGGTGGCAATACTAATAGTGCCTTTCAATGGTATTTAGGGATAGGATTTAGTGGACGGCGGTCTATGAAACGTGGCAAAAGAGACGTCGTCAGATAAGGCGGGGAGTGCTAAAATGAGGCTTTCCTTATTTTGATAGGGCTGCAGCCCTATCTGACCAAAAGAAGTTCTGTGAATTTGTTATTTTTTTTCAATATTTTTTTATAATTATTTTTTGGTTCTTTAGGGTTGCCGTCATTTGTTTTGGAAAAGAATGCAGAAGCGAAGCAGGTTCGAAGGGCCATTCAAGGCTTCCGTGGTCCTCTTTTGACTACACACAACAAGGACAGGGAAAGCTCCTACGGTCAGCTATGGCACACTGCTCGAGTTCTTGTCCGATATAATTTTAAAAATTAAAAATATATTTAAAGCAAAATTTAACGAGACAAAACTAATTGTAGTAAAAAAGGTATTGAAACAATATATTAAAAAAAAAACAAAAGTTTATATAAGGTTGCAACTTTACCTCTATCGCAACGCATGCACCTCAAAAATCCATTGGAAAAATTTGTTTTAATGTTGAAAAACCTTTTGATTGATCATCTCGACATCGAGATGTATGACCATGAAAAATAAAAAGATTTTAAGTCTAAAAAATAATGCATCTTACAACATATTATCTACACCGTCTATTTTCAAAATTTTCATATGTTTATAGATCTACTTGATTTTAACCATTTTTTAAATTTAAAATTTTATAATTAGATATCAAAATAGATTTTGAGATAATCTTAAGAATATTTTACATCAAAATTATATACCATGATAAAATTTGCTGGTGCATCTTACCTCTACAGCTACGGATGCATCCGTATGCAAACTGTACCTTTTAAAAAATGAGTTTATGATGGGTATTTTTAGAATTTTTTTTAAAAAATAAAAAATGTAAAAACAAGCTAAAATACTATCCAGTTTTTGTCAAAATAATAGAAAATAAAAATAAATAGATTAGAAATATATTTCTTATTTTTTTTTATCATTTTTTCTATTTTTTTGAACGATCCCCATGTTAAGCTTCCAACGCGAGAAAACTCGGGTTTGAAGACTACGGCTCGAGAACAAGTAACTCGGCCGACTAGATTACCCCCTCCCCTCCTTTCTCTCACTTAGAGAGTCCAAAGCTAAAAAGAGACAAATTCGACCCCCTCCCCGCCATTTTCTCTCTAAAGTCCAAAGCAAAAATGAGGAATCTCTATTTAAATCTCTCTCTAGGGGTGTGGTGTGAATGGGCTGGTTTGAGTGTGAGTTAAAGGTAGGTCCAAATGTTAGGTTGAGGAATCTCTATTTAAATCTCTCTCTAGGGGTGTGGTGTGAATTGGCTGGTTTGAGTGTGAGTTAAGGTAGGTCCACCTGTTAGGTTAAGTTAAATAAAAAAAAAAAAATTGTTATAAACTGTACTTTGGTGTAAAATATTTTAAGAATGCATTTTAATCTATTTTCATCTCTAATTATAAAATATTTTAAGATGGTATTCTAATCTATTTTCATCTCTAGTTATAAAAAGAAAAGCTTTGTGTGTTTTTTAACAACATAGAAGTTCTATCCTCCCTTTTATCCAACCGTTCATTTTTTAATGGAGCATTAAGATTGCCCCAATCACAATGTCACCTCTCTACACTATTTTATTTTTAATTTTTTTCTATAAATTATTTTAAAACCAAAATTTGGATGTCCATTCCTCTATTAAACTCGCACAAATGAAAAATATAAAAAAAAATATTTTCAATAAAATAAAATAACCAAAATACCCTTAAAAGTTTCAACGGGTATTTTGGTCATTATTTTTTATCGAAAATTATTTTTAATATTTTTTATAGGTACGTCCCAATGAGAAGATAACACGTATCAAATTTCATATTCATAAAATTTGTATTAAAAAAACTAAAAATAAAATACTTTGAGACATCGGATTTAAAATCAAACAATGAGTGACTTTCTTGATAAAAAATAGACGGCTGGATGGTAGGGGGATGATAGAACTTCTATATTGTAGGGGGAGTATAGAAAGCTTTCCCATTATAAAAATTTTAAACTCTAAAAATAGTTCAAATTAAATAGATCTATAAATGTATGAAAATCTTGAAAGTGTAAGGTCTAGATAATGTGTTGCAAGATACACTATATTTGAGACTCAAATTTTTATTTTTATTTTCTATATTCATATATCTCAATATCAAGATGATCAATTAAAAGATTTTCCAACTTCAAAACAGCATTTTACAATGGATTTTTTAGGTGCACTTTAGTTCTAGAATTTAAGATTGCAACCTTATATTTAAAAAAAAAAAAAAAATTATTCATAAATTTAGAAAAAAATATTATATAATTTTTTTAAAAACTTTTATATATAAATTAAGAACAAAAAAAATATATTGTAACTTTAAAATATAGAAGTAACGTGCAGGCCAAAAATCCCATGGTAGTGTTTTGAAATGAGAAAACCTTCCAATTGATCATCTTAACCGTGAGATACATAGATACAAAGAAAAAAAAGAATTTCAAGTCTTTAAAATAAAACATCACGTAAAAAGTTATTTAAACAATTTATTTTTAAGATTTTCAAATGTTTATAAATCTACTCGATCTGCACCATTTTTAATTTTAAAATTTCATAATTAAAATATTGAACATGAATTTTCATGCCATCATAAGGTTTCTGATACCGAAATACATTTTCTAACAAAATTTAAAGATACGCCCTAATTATACAGCATAAGGTGGATAGCTTATAACAACCTCAATAGGTTAGTCCCAACTCTCCAACCCATATTTCTTACCCAAGCCCAATCTAAATTTAAAACCAGATCAGAATCGACCCGACCCCAACTCGATTGAAATGAAAAATCTCGCTCTTTCTCTCTCTAAAGCAAATTGCCCCTCTCTCTCAACGGCCTCCAAATCAAAATAATAAATGGCACTAACCCTCTCCTAAATTTTCTACACGTCAAAAAACTCTCTCTAATTTCAACACGCCAAAGAACTCTCTCTAAAATTTGTGAGATTAAACATTTGAATTTAAAAATAGTTCATGCATACTAAAGCACGTGTACACGTAAGGACGACATAAAAGTATTCAGCTTATTGTCTAACTTTTAGTCAAAAGTGGCCGCCTTATTGACCATGTTTTCTCCGAATCTCATTTTTCTGCATTGTTTTGCTCCTTCCATTGCAAACGTTGTTACTTTTCCACCCCCCTCTCTCTCTCTCTCTCTCTCTCTCTCTCTCTCTCTCTCTCTCTCTCTCTCTCTCTCTCTCTCTCTCTCTCTCTCTCTCTCTCTCTCTCTCTCGCGTTGTGGACTGGCAAATGGGACTCATGCATGGCTTCTCCCGGTAAGGAGTCTCAGAGAGTACTAGGAGAAGACACCAATGGGGTAAACAGAGAAATGGAATAGGATGATGCCTGTTTTATACACTTTTGCGTTTTCGGTATTTCTATCAGAAAACTTGATGGAGAGGTTCCGATAGTGCAACTAGAAATTCAGCATTAGCCCCCCAAGAAGTGGCTATTAGCATGTTCTTGTTTCACATAAGCAGCTGCATTGAGCAATTTATTGCCATTACATGCAGAGGGAATTATGAATGAAGAATTGGAGGCACCACTGTCCAAATTTTGAAAATCTTGTGTATGAATCCTGAAGATCTCCATGGATGTGTTGTAGTTTTCAAGCTCTTATGTCATCCAGCTATCCTGGTAGAGTGCTTTAGTTGTCTATTCTATGTTGTTTGTTTGTTGTACTGCATTTCTACTTTTTTATTTTGCCTCTTCATCCCTGATTTTCAACATGAAGACTTTGAGTCGGAGTTTAGGTTTAGTTTTTGGCAGACATGTGAGTAATGGTAATACCCACACAAATGTGTGAAGTGCCTTTGGGATTTCACGGCTTCAAGAGCTCGGTTAATTTTCAAAACCAGGGTAGGGGCATGGGTGCTTTTCCTTATGTTGGATGCATTGTAATAGGATTTGAATAAAATCTCTCTCTCTCTCTCTC